TTACTGATAAGCTGATATAACTGTGCTGTAGTGGTGTTTAATCACCTAGCCTCAAACTGACCTGAAAGTCCCTAGATTTCATCCTTTTACTTCTTTTTTCTCCCCTTCTTTTTCTTCCCAGAAAGCTGTCTGTGGTAGGAATAGAGAGCTGTATCTCTTGCACGGCCCAGATTTTAAACTCAGAAGTGATTACTCAGTTGAGTCATGTTTCTTTATTTTTCAGCTTTTAAGATGTAACCCCAGTGGTTGCCTGCAGAGAGCTCTGCTCACAGAAAGGCCTGGTAGACATGCACAGACAAATCAGTTTTGGCACAGACCTTGATTATTGGTACAAGTTATTGAGATCAATGCCTGAATTATGTTCTGGATTAAATTTCTGTTATGGTTAAGGAGTCTCTTTTTTTCTGTAATAACAGTAATAACTTGAGCATCATTTGGATTTTAAATTTGGTCTCGAGAGAGATAAGGAGTTCCTGTACAAAGACCTCTGCATGAACAACTACTCCATGCCTGGCAAGCCCGGAGGTTTGGGGAGTGAGGAAAGATGAAGATTGTTGGACATAGCATGTAAATATGTATTTTACACTGTTAAAAACAGGTTTTTAAGACTTTTCCTTCAATAAAGGAGCAGGTTGATTTCAAATACTTGTATAGCTACAAAAGCAATTCTGTTTGAAGTTCTGAAAAATGACAGGAGCACTATGAAAAGCACAGTTCCAATATTCCTCTTGTACAGGAATACTCAGGATCCTCAATCAACTTTTATAGAGCTAATCTGAATGTGGTCCTCTTTTGAACATTTGCTTTTTCCTAAAATCGTGTGTCATGTGGAGTGTTGGGGAAAGCATTGATACTTAGATGTGAACAGGCCTAGGAAGATCAGGACTGTTTTGTGGCTTGAATCACTAGTTTCTAATCAAGGGTATTTTCCCATTCAATGCTGTAGTGTGGAGGAGTGTGCATGTGTTTGTCTTGTCTGGAATCTTTGTCTTGATGTCATTGAGCTCAGTTTTTCTCCAGAAATGAGGACTGTGCTCTGTGTCTGGTGGCTTGTTTTCACAGAACTTACCTGCTGCAGGGCTGCTGAAGGGACAGTGATCAAGGTTGCAGGTAACTTGGGCACAGAGTATGGGGTGAAACTGCAGAGAAGTGAAGGCAGGATGGAGGTGTCTAGGTTGGACACCTGCTAAGCAGCTTGGTAGAATAGGGGTGATCAGTCTGCCATGCCAGGAATTTGGCTTTTGGGGGTATGAAAAGCTTTTTCTGCTCTTCAGCCTGAGTGTCTCTGAAGTCTGGAGGAAGACATGAAGTTAGAGGCCAAGGAAGAAGGCTGGAGAGGTGAAGCTGATGTTCCCTCTGTCATGAGGCATGAAGTATATGACTTGGGAGGCAGCAACATGAGCATTTCTTCTTTCTCATGAGCTGGAGTTCTGCCTCAAATGTGATTTTATGTTTCAATCCAGCCTCTCTACAGTGCCCTTCAGTACAAAATGTAAATGCTGTCCTTTTGGGGACCACTTTTTAGTGGTCCACTTGAGGTGGCATATGAATGAGTTATTAGTCCATCTGTTCATGCATGTGTCACTGGTGCTCCTTGCAAGAGCACAGGATTTCCTCGTGGAGCAGTAGTGGTTGTCAGCATTGCAGGGTTCGTGGTCTTCTCTATGCATTTTGCTTTCTCTGTGTGCTGAGTCCATGGTGGGGTATGGCAGAGCTGTTCTGTACCTTCTTTGTGTGACATTTATGAGGTATATCAGGAGCACAATTTAACTCTGAGTTAACTGGTGCCTTGGGGGATGCTGAAGCATGCACGTGAGTTCAAAGTAGCAGCAGCAAACCTGCCAGAACTTTCCAGTCTGGAGCAAGCCTGGCTATTTGCTTTCAGCTGCTGTGTCTTTTTGGCAAGGTTATTCAGCAAAAGGTGAGGCTGTGCTGCAGTGGGATTCTTCTGCTTGCTCAGGTGAGCTTTAGGTGCACTGTCTTACCTGCTGATTTTTACTGAATTTGTGGTTATAGAATGTTAACATATAACCCAGCTGTCTTGACTTCTGAGATACTGAAGGTGCTTGGTTCAGTTCTCTGATCATCCTGTGAGAAGTACAAAATACAGCTAAAGGAACTGGTCTAGGACAGTGAGGGGGCAACACCAGCCCGACATGACCACCCAGTCCTGGGTTTGTCCAGCATTGCCTGCATCTAAGGCAGGTGGCATTTCTTGCATATTTTTGGTGCCTGCTTGCTCATAAAGAAGATGCTAAACTGATGCTGTGCCGTTTTTTTTTTTTTTTTCCTCCTTGCAAATTAAATGCCTCTGGGGAAGGAGCACTTGCTCCCTTGCACTCTCTGTCTCTCTCCCTTTGTGTGTATCTGGTCTGTTGGAGAAGTCTCAAGCTGGAGGTGGCAAAACTCCCTGTGCTGGGTTTCTGACCCCCTCGTCTCCCCTTCACAATGTTGTTACTGTTGCATCTGCTCTTCAGCAGGGGCTCCATCAAGTTTATGTGACCTTAGCACTGTATTCATGCTGGAGGAGTTACCTTCCATAATGATGTCAACTGATGAGGCTGGCGGGATGGTGGCGGCCGCGATAAGACATGACATGTTCTAATGATTCGCCTTAGCGAGCTGCGTGTGTGTGTTGGGGGGGCACGGAGGGGCTTGGAGAGGGGAGGTGGGGGCCCCACAGGTGCCGACAAAGACTTTGACCTTTGCTGCTATAATATCAGTGTTTCACAGGCAGGGCGGTTCGGTAACCCACTTTCAGCCCATCAAAAATTGATTTAATTGCAATTTTTTCCCCCAATTAGGAGCACTGGAGCTTAACTAATTGGAGTAATAGAGAGTAATAAGGCTCTGATAAAAAGCCTTCCTCTGCCTCCTTTGTATCTTGTGTCATCGCCTGTCAGAGGTCAGAGAGCTTGCATATTCTATTAGGCAGAGTTGCCTTCATTTGTACAAATTAGTTTACCCAACAGTAATTAAAATGCCAGTGCGGGTCGGGGAGAGCTGAATACAATTGATGGGCACGTTGGTGAAGGATTTGACAGCTCCGGTGGCCTCCCTTGCCAAAGCGTGTCAGTGCTGAATCAAAGGCTACACAAACCCACAGACCCGTGTGTTTAACCCGCGGCACCGTCGGCACCAACTGCTCTCTCTCTTCTCCTGTCTCCCTTTTGGACTTGCTTTCTCTTCTCCTTCTTTTCCCATCTCACTTGAGACTTTTTAAAATAGATGTTTCCCATCTTTGAGCTCTCCTTTCTGTTGATCGCTTTCATAACATTGCTACCAACCCCCCCATCCTGTCTCCCCTGGTTCTCCCCCTTCTCTCCCCCCACCTTCCACATTCCCAGCTGCAGAACTCTGTCAAGTAATAACTTCTTTGTTTCCCAGTCCAATGAGTCTCCATATATAATAGTTTCCAAAATGGAACAACGATGTCCAATTCCAGGGGCCGGGGGAGAGCACCAGGAGGAAGGAATGGGCACTTGCACATGTCAAGCAGATTCTGGACTTGAAATCCCTGAAGAGGAGAATAGAACTAGAGAAGCAATCTGTTTACAGTACAGAGAAGGGCACAGGCCTGGGGCACAGGGGAGGTGTATTGAGAAGAGGTGGGAAAGGACCTGTTTTATCCAGGTTCCTTCAATGACTTTGCATTGCAGGATTTCCAGCTCAGGCAAGACCTACTCTGGAGGCTGGGTTGATAGTGGGGAAAGTATGTGGTGTTCAATGTGACTTGTATTTCTGGAGCTGATACTGTTTCCAAGCCTCAGGATAAACAACATCTTTCCAAAAGGACTGATGGGCATCTACCTCCCTCCCTCTGGTTTGTTCACATCTGGCAATGGTCTGTCCAGGATGGGGTAAAGAGGGATGCTACATGAGTCAAATTGTAGTTGGCACCTTGGGACTAGCCATGGGATTGTTGCAGCTGGAGTGTAGCCAGAGCACTACTGCTGTTGCCAGAAATGCCATGGGATCTTCAACAGCCCCAATTCAGATGGAGAGTTCTCGTGTTTCTTCCAGCAGCACTGCCAGGATGTGTGTTCTCTTTCATTTCCTGGCCCAGCTTCTGTTGTGGGGGGATGATGTCTAATGAAATGTCTCTTCTGCAACATAGAGGTCGGCTTCTGGAGAAGCAGGATCTTAGTTTTTTTGTTGTTTTTTTCCCCCCCTCTTGTTTATTCCTCTCATCTCTGTCAGAAGGGAGTCTCCGATAAGAAAGAGGACATCAAAGTATCAGATGAGTTGGAAGATTCCTTGTGTTGGACAACAAAAATATGCTGTTTATGAAGTATGTGTGTCTTAATGCTGTGCAAAATTCTTGCCTTCCTGGTTTGGTTTTTGATTTGGTTTTAGTTCCTAGGGGATCACTGTGAAGACAACATGCCCTGTTATGGAAGTCCTACAATGGTGCTTTTTTCCCCTTTAGAAGGGCCTTTTAGGGGGAGCTTGTAGTGATGGTAGTCAGCAGCTTTCAAAGGACAGAAGGAAGCTTAGTAGGGAAGGGGCTTTACATCTCCAAGACCACCTGGAGACTGGCCGTAGCAGTTTTTGTGGTGGATGTAGATGCATCTGATCAGAGTCAGTGTGCATCATATACTTTGGGTAGATGAGTCATGCCTGCATTATTTAGGGTATTCTGTACTCCCCTCTTCCCAATCTAGTCTCTCCTCTGGCTTAGAAAGCAGTGTGGGAAAAATGAATGACACTCCCTAAGCTGGTAACTCAGATCGAACTGTTTTTCTTGGGCAGCTGGCAACAACAGTTGTGAAAAAGCTGCGCTCTCTAAGTTGGAGGGTTTTCTTATGTGTGCTCTGTGCTCTCTAAGAGCCTTGTTGAAGATAGACTGAAAGAAACAAGCCTGATAGAAGTCTTCAGCCTGATCTTCCACACTAAACGAAGTTTCATAAGTTTTGGAGCCAAACTTGATATGCTTTCCTCCAATCTGCATGTTGTTTTAGACATATGAAAGCTGACTTGCATTGCTCTTTTGCCTGAAGTAAAACTGTCACCTCTGAGAGGCTCCCAGTTATGAGACACCTGAGGCTTCAAGGTGTGTGCCTGCAGATCAGACTCAAGGTGAGGGGCCCTGTATCATGCCCTGGAATCCAGACTTTAAGGTCAGTTCTCAGGCTTCAAGAATTTCTCATTGGCACCCCTTCTTGTGCATGTTGTTTTGTGAATGCTGCATTCTAATGCTGCAGTGAAGGTGGCCTGCTCTTGTGGGAGAAGTCTTATCTTTGCTTGCTAATGGGCTCAGCCTGTTAAAGATAAGGCCTGCAAACCTGATCCCACTGAAGTATGAGACAAAATTCCTGTTGACTGAATGGAGTCAGCTTTACCCAGAAGAGACTTGTTTGTGGCCCTGAGGCCTGTATTCCATGCTGGAGAAAAATCTCTTTATCTAATGCTTTTTTCTCTCTTTTTTCTTTTTTTTTTCTCTGAGGGGTGAGGGGTAAGGACCAAGGAGGGAAAGCTGAAGTCCAGAACTGACAGCATGAGGGAGGATTAGACCTAGCTGTTCCTCCCACCTTTTTCTCCCTGTTGGTGTGCCTCCATGGTAATTTAGACCTGTGGCAACCATCAAAGCCTTGTGCATACCTTCTGCACAAAGGGATCTGTCTCCCACATGAGAGTGTTCTCTGCTGGGACAGAGTCAGTTTGTCCCCCAAAAGAAAAATCTTAAGCACCCAATTGCCTGCTTGACTGACTCCCTGACTGCTATTGTGTTTCTAACCACAGTAATTGACTTTAGTAGTTATTAATGGATTATGTCTGGGGAGGGGGGACAAAACCCAACACCTAACTTTGTAGCAGAGGGACCTCCTGACCAAAGTGTTGCTTTCCAGACATGGGGCTTGAGCGACAAGCTGTCAAAGTGGGTGTCTTTTGCTTGTTTTCCTCTGAGGTGGGTGACATCAGCAAAAGAGAAATGTTCCCTCCTGTCCTGGACTATGGTGGAGAGAAGGCAAGCATTGAGCAGAAATCATGTTTCCAAAGATTAAATGCTGCACACTTTCTTAATTGATCGTGGTGGCTGCTGTACAGCAACAGGAATTGGATTATTTTCCATACACTCTCAGGCTCTGGTCAAGGACTTACATGCAGAAGAGAAATGTCAGCACCCTGCAGCACCTGCAGGGACTGCCCAGTGCTACAGGTGCTTTGGCTGATTGCATGTGCACTGCCAATGAACCTGGAATGTTGCATGTAGGAGACACTTTGAAATAGCTCTAGTTCTGCAGGCCTTTTCTAGCCTAAAGGGCAGCTAAGAGTCACAGAATTTGTGGACACCTCCATGATGTGGTTTGATGGTTTGAAATGGTTTGATGTTATCTGCTTGCCTCTTTTGCAGAGTGTTTTTTTCAGTGCTGCTTTGGCTGTACGGTTTGGAGAAGCCAGTTGCTGAGCTAAACCACAGAGATAGGAGTAGAAGGAGTCCTGAGTTCCAGTCCTGCTTCCATCTGGTCCTTCTCTGGCTTTGATTGAGTTGAACCTGTGTTCACCACTTGGCTGCTGAGTGCCTTCTTGCAGCAGCAGCAGTGCTTCTCACAGAAGTCAAGGGTGCTGCAAGAATCCATTCCTGGTGCAGTAGAGGCTTGCAGACACCCTGACTTCCAAAGAAAGAATGCTGTAGAGGATCAAAGAAATGTTTTAAAACTGCTCTAACTGCTATTTTTATAGACATGACATTGTTTTCTTATTTTGCCTTCATCTTTCAGCTGCCAGTCCTGTGTCATACTGCAAAAGTTCTTTAGGCAAAGCGTAGAGATGGCTTTTATTTAAAGCAGGCTCCATTTCCTGTGTTCATTCTATCCTTGTTGCATTGACTTAAACAGAGTTTTGGCATTTTATTCTCAGTAGCTGCAATAAATATGGCTTTGTGAGAGGTAATTTGTAACTTACTTAGAAATCCTTGTATGAGCTGCTTCCTCTTATTTGGACTGAGAATGGGAAGCTGGCACGAAACAAGCAGTGTGGTTTGGAGAGCACAGCACCCATGTTCCTCGTGCTTGATTTTAAGGATTTGTTCTGTCTTATGAACTAGTATGAGGTCAGTGGGTGTCAGGTGACCTCTGGAGCCAGCATGTGCAGCGGGGACATAGCACTGCCAAGAGGACTTTGGAATGGGCCCTGCTGGAGGGTATAAACGGAGCCAAATATTGCTGCAGGAGAGCTGTGCTGCCTCTAACAGAGAGTGCCTGAGCACTGGGGAGGGCAACCTGATCCAGCTTTGAAATTGGCCCTGCTCTGAGCAGGCTGGACCAGAGACCTCTATTCTGTGGTTCTTTAGGCCTGTGATGCTGCAGCCAGTTCATGATTGTACTCAGAAGTTGCCAACAAGCAGAAGTGAGACATGAAGTAGGAAATAAGAGTAAATTTTCCATGGGGTCTTTCTGCAGCTTACAGCACTGACTGTGTATGAAACATGCTAAGTACTGTACTGAGTCATTTGAAAATGTTGTTTACAGCTGTTCCTGTTTAGGTTTTCCTTTTGTATTTACAAATACATCTTTATATCCTGCCGGTTCTCTGCAGTTGTGACCTGCTGCATCTGGGAAACTCAGCTAGTGAGAGTCCTGTGGCAGCTCTCCTTTTGCTGCTGCCTGTCCCTTGTGAAATGTGGTGGGACATGCTGACATCATCTTGAACAAGAATTCAAAGTGTGTCTTGTAACCTGTTTTCTCTGTCTTGCTCATGCACTTTCTTCAGAACATGAGGATTAGTAAGTGTTTTTTGTTTGTTTCTTTGTTTTTTTAAACAGCTCATTTGTGACAGGGACAGCCTGCTGTGGACACATCTCACCTCTGAGAATCTGGGACCTTGAGAGGTGAGTGAGCTTCCAGGTTACAGGGAGGGACTTGACAAGAAAAGTGAATAACAATACAAGATTGGAAATGCTGCAAAAGGGTATCATTCCTTTTGTCAGTATAGGCAAGGGATGATAGAAGATGAGATGTTGAGGAGTGGGGGACAAAGCAAACTGGTGTGGAAAGTCATATGTGGGGGGTGGTTCTGGTTCAGTAACTTGGCTTTTCTTCTCAGCTTTTCCAGTTGATGGCACAGCCATCCTGGTTTCTTCCCATTACCTGTATACAGTCAAAATATACCCATTACACCCTCCTTTTCATTTGTCTCTGTTGATGCCTCAGCCAGAGGAGGTGAGGAAGGTGATCCTTATCCTCCCATTCACCCACTTCTCTGTGGTGCTGGGAAGCCAGAGGCAAACACAGGCTCTGAAGTCACCTTTTCCTGGCTGGCAATTCCAGTAGCTCAGAGAGGTGATGTGTGGCAACAGGTTATCTATGGAAGTGACTTAGGCACGTTGTCTTCTCTTTGTCCTAATAAGCACTGAGGAGGTTAATTGCTGTGGCCTCTGATTTGGAGTCTTTGGGTAGTTCCTGTTCAGTGAAGGTGCTGACCTTAGCCACTGGGGAAACGTTGTTCTCAAATCTTGATGTGAGACTCAGCTGCTGACAAATTTGAAACTCTCAGCCTGAGGGTCTTAGTGTAGTGATGGACAGACAGCAAATATTTCACAGGATTATTGGAATGGCAGCTCTGCCTTGCAGGACTGGGATGCTCTGGGTAGGAGTGGCATGGCCCAGATTATCCAAAGGAGTCCTGTCAGGATTGAGGTAAGCAATGGCAGAAGGGGCCTGAGGGATATCAGTAGAGCTGTATTTAGGGAAAGAGGGTAGAGGAAGATTGGTGTGGACACAGGGTAGGTCTGAGACCAGTTGCCTTCTAATCTATAGTTTAAATAGTGTAAATTGTTTAAGTCAACTGTATCAAATACAAATTCAAACCAACACTTTTTTTTTCTCTGAAGTAACAAAAATACTTTGCAACAGTGCATCCTACAAAGGACAAGCTGGAGCAGGAAAGAGCACCAGTGCATTAGTTATGGTGCATGTTTCTTAGTGATCCATCCAGTGGTGCCTTTGGAGTACCCCAGAAGGATGCAGGCTATGCTGTGATACCCCTGCCCATCAAGTCTTCTGGCTGTTCTTGAATAGAGGCATCTGACAGGGGTGAGGAGATGGTCAACCCTCTCCCCCCTGCCCCAGCCTTTCTGACAGCCTTTCCCAAGGAAGCCTGAAGAGATAATAAAGCTGTGTAGAAAATAGGATTAAGGTAATGAACAAGCACAGCGGAGTTTGATCTTTCAATAACGTAAAAGCCTGAGTGACAGGCAAATAAAAAAGCCAAGGCAACCTAGGCCACTGGGCCTCTGTTGAAATGGCTAGAGTGTCAAACTTATTCTTCCCTCTTCACCTGTCACAGCTGGAATGCACCATGCCACTGGGTCTTTTCCTCTGCAGGGACCTGTGTGTGAGCTGGTAGACTTGTGAGCATGTGCAGGGTAGGAGGCTGAGTAGGAAGCATGGCTGGGACTCTAGCATGTAAAGCTTGGTGTCATTATTCATAGAAAGGGAGTACAGAGCTGTCCTTCCAGGTCTTGACTCTCCATAAACTGTTCATCTTCCCAGCAGAGCTTTGGATCCATCTTCAAAGGTTCCACTGATTGCCAGAAGTGATCTTGTAGGGAATGGTGTCTGTAGCTTTGAAGCTTTTGAATATTGTCTCCCTGGTCAGACTCCAGGAGTGAGAGTGTGGCATGGAAACTTAAAATCTTAGAGCCACCCAAGACTTAAAAACTCCTCCTGTGCTCAGTGTGTCCTGATAACATCTGGTAGTCAGAGCCAGGACCTCTGAGTTTGCTGCTTACCTTTTTCTTGTGGCCACAAAAGGGCCCAGAGGCTGCCCTGCAGAGGCTGAACGTGGCAGGGATGTCTGAAACCAGAATCCAGGTAACTTCTGTCAAAAAACAAAATTGGGAAGGGTAGAATGATGTATAAGTTATGTTCTTGAAAACCACAGAATCCTTAGCAGCCCTGAGGTCTTTAGTGCTGACCAGGATCAGCTAGTTCAGTAAGGGAAGTTTTCTTTGCATCGGGGGGGTGAGTAAGTAACAGTACAACAGTTTCTGTGCCATTCTCTTCCATTGGGGTAGGTGGTCTTTTTACCCAACAGCTGAGATCTGTAACGTGCTACAAAAGGATTTAAAGCTTAAATAACCTTTTGTGTACTGATCATCTTAGTTCCAGGCCAGATAAGTCCTCGGCTGATGCTTGTCGCTGTTGGTCATGGTATGTTTTGTATTTATGACCTTCGCTGTTCCCTGACCCTGGGGCAGCCATTCTCATCCCTCCAAGAGGAAGGGGATAATATCTTCACCTGTAAATATGTCCTGTGCTTTGAAAAGGGCTTGACTGGTTTTGGTGTAGAGGAAATTTTTAGTGGGGAAAGGAAACGCCTCTTGCTGCATCCCGCTCCCACAACTGTCTTTCATTTCTGACTCTGCTGAGATGATGGCGTTGGATCAAAGCCACAACAGGCAGCAACAAGCAATTGTCAAGGGAGTCTAAAGCAGGGGAATGACTGCATAATGCCAAAACACTGTCTCTGATGGCTGAAATTCCAGCTGCTGCTACACCTGGCCCTGTCTCGTGTAATGAAGGAGGATTTAGATTTTTTTCATATGCTTTTGAAGCTGGCTAGCTGCACTTGTGGAGGACATCTCTCACCCCTCACATGCTACCTTGCGCCATCTGATTGCTTTTAGATGTGGGGAAGTTGCTGTGCACTTATTCCCACTCTGGATCAAGGTGTGTGTATGTAGAAGCAGCTGTAAGTTCAGTGATTAGAGGCCTGCAAGGGGAGCAGTGATCAATATGGGCCACACGATACTAACCTGTGTCCTTGCGTCAAGTATCAGGGCTTGCAGACTCCTTGTCCTCTTCCAAGTACCCTTGTCCTTCCTTTAGTGAAGGATATGATGGCAGCTGCCCCTCTTGCAGGTCAGGTTCCTCTGCTCACTTCTGCCTTTCTCTATTCAGACCGTCCTGTCTTGTTTGCCAGTGTGAGTGTGTGGCTCAACAGAACAGCCACTTAATGGCAAGCAAGAGAAAAGGAAACCTTATTCAATCGTCCTCCTCTTTTTTCTTCTTTCTATTGCCTTTGGGAGTTTAAACTCCTTGGAAGATGAGGGTCATGCACCACTGACAGCTCCAAGGCCAGCATTTGTCATTTGCCTGCGGAGGACTGTTGCTTCCCATGTTATTGGGGTGGTCTTGCATGTTGTTAAAAGACAAATGCCCCTGTCTCAAGGATGCATCTCCATAAGATAGAATAAACCAGAGGTCTCTTTGCAGCAACTCTTGGAGCTATTCTGCAAAGCCTGGCATTTGAAATGGACTAGTGATCTATCTTACATGGTAGTCTTGATGCTACAAACACTTTGAATGCACAAATCCTACAGTGTTATTCCTGTGACATGACATGACATGCTGCAGGGCACAAGAGCTCTGAAAACTGAACCAAAGTTAACTGTGCCCTGCAAGCCACCCAGATCCTCTGCCTTTTAAATAGCCAGTCTTTATCCAACTCCTCCCCCCTTTTGAAGGTATTTTTGGCAGAGTGGGGATTTTGTTTGTTTGTTTTCTGGTGTTTTTTTTTTTTTTTAAGAACCCTCTAATTTCTTGTTCGGTTTTTCCCCTGCTCCTGAGCCCTTTGAAAGTAGCTTTATGCCGTCACTGACACCAAACTGACACTTTGCGTTTCCCCACTTCTTATCCCTTTATGGCAACAGATGTTGAAATTTTGTATCCCTTTTATCTGTCCCTCTTTGCCCTCTTCCTGTAATTAGGTTTCCCTTGTTAGCAGTACAAAGTGGCCCGGTTTGCTGCCTGGCCTTTTGAGCCATTGTGTCGGAGCACATTTTTTTCCTTCTCTTTCGGAAGAGTTCCTTCCCCCTTAAGTAATAGGCAGGGTGTGGGCCAGAGCTGTGGCTATTTCTTGCTTCTTTGTTCTCCATTTATCTCTGCCACCTTTTTCAAAGAGATGGAGAAAAAAAATAGAGTGCATGGAAGGGGAAGATACAGAGTTGCATTTCTTGACCATCAGACCCCCTGCTCTTCAGGTGTTCAAGGCAGGTGCCTTTGATGTCTGCAGCTTTTGGGAAAGTGGGAGGTAGAGGATTCATGGGAGTGATTTGGGAGTGGAGGAGAAGGGTGATTCAGGTGTATGGATGGTGCCCTCAGCAGAGGGTTGGGAAGGAGTCTCAGGTAGCCAGGCAGCTGCTGAGCAGGTTAGTAATCTGTTCTGCCTGTAGTGTTATTGCACTGTGCTCTTTCTTTCCAAGAGCCAGCATGAGTGTTACCATCTTTAAGCAGCTGGCTGAAGTTTGCTAATGTGCTGCTGCTGTATTTCTAGTGTGTGTTTCCTTGGGTCCATTGCTAGGTTACATCTGGTCCATGGAGGGGGCAAGAATGAGTTGCTGTCTTTTCAGCTTTTGGCTTATGTTGATCTGCATCCATTTTGATGGCTCTTCATAGCCCATAGAGTTAAAATTTGTGCTCCCTGTACTGGTCTTAAACAGCAAGTGTAATTTGAGAGTTGAAGCGTATAGCACTGAAGACTCTAGTCAGCTGATCACTACTGATGATTTCCTGTTTAAATCCAGTCCTTCTAGACTTTGTTTTCTGTTGTGCTCCATTTTTTAACTGTGTGGAAGTAGATGAGTGAAATGAAATTCTGCAGGTCTAGTTCTTGGTTATAAGTCTTGCTGAATGTTTTCAATAAAAGTTTTTAATGTAGAAACTCAAGTTTTCTTAGGCTCAAGTCTTCTTAGTGTTGTGTTCTAAAGTAATTTCTGTAGAAGAGCATTCTCTCCCCAGCTTTGAACTCCAAGGCTTATGCAAGTTTGAGACCCTCTAATTCAATCACCAAAGGAGCTGTTGGGTGAAGGAAGCAAATATATTCAGA